GGAGAGTGATAGGAGGAGACTCTCACCTTGTTGAGCCTAGAGAATTCGTCGTCGTCATCATCTGCGTCCATGTCACTTGAGCCGGCCTCCATGATGTCGCTTGGCGCTGTTATGGAGGTTGCTGACGTGCTAGGTGTTTGAAGACCGTCTTCCATCTGTCGAGCGACGGTCACGTTCCGATAGCTTTGAAAGACGGGTCGTCTTCTGCGACGGGAGATGTAGACATTCTGTGCCCGCCTCGCGTTGGGTGCAATCGATGAGCCGACGCTCGAAGCAGATGGTGAGATCGGTGCTTCAGCATACGGTGGCGGTGGGAAGTAATCTGGTAGACCTCCAGGAAGCGTTGTCTTGCTCGGAGTGGGAGGCGAGACCGCCTGACCCTGGGCGGATGCTTGCTCGGTCATCGAAGGCCGACGACCCCAAGATGACCAGAGGGAATACGCTGTGATAGCCTGCCCAGGGCGGACGAGGGAGATGAATGGAAGTAAGGACACGGCTCTCGGGGCGCAAGGGTGCTACTCACGGCTGCGCCGGCATATAAGGCAGTGTTTACAGCACCTTCGACGATAGTACCCGCTACCCCTTTGCGCTTCTTCGTTGCTGGCTCTTCCTGGACATGACTCGCGATGGCTAGTGTCTGCTGTCTTTCTCGTGCTTGGGCAGCTTGTGATGCTTCTTGAGCCCGATTTAGCGTCTCCCACGCGCGTGAAGATGACTCGAAAGACGAAGTCAACGTGTCCCGATCATATCCGCGAGCGGCATGCTGCGCATATACGGGATCGTCAGCCACGCCGCCCGCTACTGCGCCAAAAGAGCTGCTGGAGGGAGCATGGGAGGAGGACCAGCCAGACTGTCCAGCATAGGGTTCGGAGACACTCTGGATGCTTGGAGTCCAATTTCTTTTGCGGCTAGGGGTGACTGGCTGCTGAGACAGGAAGCCAAGACCTAAGTCTGTTCCTTCCGTAGGTGAAGAGGGCAAAGCGCCACTCCCGTGTCGAGCCTGTGGTCCGGACATGCTAATGCCGGACGTGGGTGCACCTCGATATGGTGGGTGCAAAGGCCCTTTGGGACGTCGACGTGCTGGAGCTGAGGACATCGCGCGTACACTGATCAGACTTTCGTCTACAAGTGTCGATAGTCTTCTGTACCGCAGCGCTTGGAAACGAGACTCAAGGAATTTCCTCTGATCGTCGAACCGCAGCTTATGCAGACACTACTGAAGAAGAGCCTGAAAGGTGCTGGCCAGCTAGTCTTGACTCTTCACATCGTCCAGCTGAGCGCCCGGAGAGACCGCGTCCGAGCATGGAACAGGTCAAAAGAGTGCGGTGTATGCGCTCGATGCAGATGCGAAGAGCGCTTCTCGGCAGAGCAAATGATACTGCGTTTCCCGATTGGATGTGGTTGTCAAAGATGATGGAGCTCGCATACTTCATATTTGTTGCCAGTGCGGCCGTTGGATCGGCGAACAATAATCAAGGATTGCAGCAGGCTAAATCCCGTTTGCTACACCACCTATACATGGCTTTGTTCGCGAATACCATGCAGCTCATAATATTGACGACTCAAACTGCATGCTATGCTGCGTTTTGTTCAGGAGAGCCATGCTCGACACTGACGCGGTGCCCCTAACTACTAATCTATAACTTAAAGCAGCAGAGTATGATTGCTCTCACACGTGCGGCGGGCCGCGCGGTATCTACACATCCACACATGCTGGTCACGCGCCGGCCGTGGGGTCGCGTGCGCAGACGCGTTCAGACAAAACACAGCGCGTGCGGCATCAGTGCTCGATCGTGACTCAAACTCACGACCTACGGGTTCGTGACACTCTCAAGGGACACTATTCAAGATTCAAGATCCACATTTGACGTTGGTCGTAGTAGATTGTAATCACGAAGGATAGCCCGTAGCACAGCTACATATACGGCAAGCCTCGACGTCGAGTAGACCAAAGCAGCTTTTTCTGAGCGGGAAGCAGGGCTACAAATCAAGGTCTGTACGGTCTTTCAACACGGCCGACCTTTACGATCAGCCAAGATCAATTCTTGCGAAGCTATAGCAAAGAAGAGTGAAGGACCCCAAATCTTTCGGACCTTTGGAGACACGAGTGATAACACTATTGTTAGGAACCTAGACCGGATGGTCCTCGCGTTGGAGCGATATGTCATTGCTCCCGCTAGTCTCTCACGCGGATGGATGCGCCTCATCCTTTCAAACCCATTTGCGAGAATCCTTTCCCGCTATTTCAGCTCTATACACGCAAGATGCTCGAGTAGCAGAAGCGGCTTTAGATAGCTTCCGAGAGACGTTGGCCAAATTGCAAAAAGACGTGGACGACCTTGCCGAGCTGGTCTATCGTGTGGATGCTTGGACGTCCGAAGCTCGGGGTATGAGCGTGGGCCAAGACCCTCAGCAAGCTCTGCAACACGTCGGTGGTCTTGTTGATGTGAGTGAA